TTTATTCATCTAATAGCACTGTGAGGAAGTGTTCTTAATCCTGTGTTATGGCTAAGGAAACTGAGGCACGGAGAGGTTAAGCCCAAGGTTCTCCAGCCAATAAATGTGAAGCAGGCTCAGTAGCCTCAGCCCCTGGCATTGTTGGCTGTGGCCTCTGTCCTCTTAGACTTTGCCCAACCTGTCTCATTAGAGGCAGGGAAAAGAATGGCCTGGAGGCTTCCTGAACCATAGGCAGAGGCAGCAGGGAAGATTCTGGCCTCTGGTATCAAGAAGCCAGACCCTGGAAGAGCGTGGACTGAGGCTGGGTGGAGGAAGCTGAGTGTCGGCTGAGCAGCTGAGGTTTGGGAACATCAGCCTGGAGCTGGGATCCCAAAAGGTGGGGACTAGAGTGCACCAAACTTGAAGGAACAGCCCAGTGCAAAAGCCAAGCCCGGAGGTTTGAGGCAGGGCAGGGATTCTAAGGGCCTTTCCTTTTCTCAAGTGACTTGTGCTTCATGGATACTTTCCAAGCCTTTCCTGGCTCTCTAGAAAAGAAGCAGGAGGCATCTTCACCCCTTCACGGTCTAAAAAGCCAGGTAGCTTGGGACCTCATAGCTAGCAAGTAGAGGCAATTTCAGCCCAGATCTTCTGGCTTTATGTCCAGTGTTTTCTGTAAAATCCTGACTGTGCAAGGGACACCCTGAGGCCTAGGCAAACCCAAGGACCACCCCCAACACACACATACTGCCCCAGAGCAGGAAGTGGTTTTTGAGGGCAGATGCTGAGATGAGATGTGATGAATCATTGGCGTGAGACCTGCAGGTTGCCTCTGGGGTCAACTGTCCTGGCTTTGAAATGAGTAGCTATGTGACAATGGGCAAGTCCCCACCAGCAGCCCACCATCGACCCCCAAACCCAGTGGGCAGTCAGTGGGGTGTGGGGGCCTGGGAGTTCCTGGTGTGAGCAGGAGCTCTGGGTACAGTAGCTGCCATCCTTCCCCGGCCTGTTATGAGCTCTGGATTGGATTTGGGAGAGGATTTGATTAGATCCTAAACAGTGGTTCTGTTTAGAGGCCCTGGTTCATTTCCTGTGTGCTGCTAGCAGGCAAGACATGGGCAGAATTAGCCCTGGTCCAGCCAAGCCAAGGAGTGATGGATGGAGAGATACAGACCCCTCAGGAGGGTGGGGCTGCACTGGCCAGCACTCCAGACCTAAGGCCCTGAGTGAGCAGCCTGGTCTCCCTGGGGAGATCTGGCTGGATTCCTGTCACCCCCACCTGTTGCAACAGCTAAGTGGATGTCCCCAGCTGCCTGCACTTCCTCCATTAGCAGGCGCACCACACTCCTTACACCCCATTGTCTAGCCTCCTTTTTCTGCTTCACTGAGGGCAGAGGACTGTGTCTGACTTGTTCCCTGCAGTGCCTGGAGAATGAATGAATGTGTGTGCCCAGCCCCCACATCCTGCTGGCCCTGCCCAGAGCAGGTTTGATGCAGACAGCTCTGTTGCTGTCATTTGCTGGTGACAGGACGAGCCACACCTGTCATTCATTCTGCAATCTTGCCCTCATCTTTATCTCCTCTCTTGCCTTAATTCTCTCCTGTGCTTGCCACCGATCACCTAGCTGTCCCAGAGCATCCCTCAAGTCACTCCTACCCCAGTTCTCCCAGGAACACTGGCCTGACCAAACCTGCCTACCATGGCTGTGGCTCACACAGGCCCTGCCTGGGAACATAGCAAGGGACAGTGAGCCTTGGGTTTTGTCTGAAAAGCATCCGCTCTACTTCTAATTTGCTGCTGGCTCTTTCCCCTCCCTCTGGATCACAAGGCTGTAAATCCTTGTATGTAAGAGGGCTTGGACAGGGGACCAGTCTTAATCCTGCACATGAAACTTTGACTTCTTAGGTAATTCCCTTACCCTCTAGGCCCTCAGTTTCCCCATCTCTAAGATAAAATAAGGCTAGTATCTAGCAACTACCCTCATATCCAATGCTCTGTCTGGGCCAGGCGCTATGGGAGGCCACCCTTAGCCTGTGAGGCCACGTGATGTCCCTGGGCTCTGTTCCCAATGAGAGTCAGAGGCTTGACCAGAGTTGTAAAGAGGGAAAGTGGCCCTATGAGGATGCAAATCTGACCGGGGCCTCCAAGCATGTAACGGCTGGGCATTCTGGGTGGTTTCTTGGCAGGCCCGGTCCCTTGGGAGGGTCCTCTGGGGACAGGCACCTCTGCCCAGTGGCACTTCCCCACTTGGCTTTGTTTGGTTTGGCCCAGTGTAAGGCAGGTTCTGAGAGGCAGGCTGACTTGCACTTCTGGTTTAGGGCTTGTCGCTGTACTTTCCCCTGGCAGGCTCTGCCAGCAGGCACCCCTGGGACAGGCCTGGCCCCGCCCGTCCTCTCCCCTCAGGGAAGGGGACATCAGCCTGCTCCTTACAGGCCTTGAGGTCTGCATCAGGCTGCAAGGGCACCTGGGGTTGCTACTACTTCCATCTTTCTCCTAGGACTAGAGAGGCAGGTGTGTGTGGAGTTAGGTGTGGGGTTCAGGGGAGCTGACTGGGGACTGTTTATTTGTCCAAATGGAGATCCTCCCTGGTGGGTGGGTGATGGGCTGGGGGCTGGGACTTAAATCGGAAATCAGCTCTGGAGGAACAGAGCCAGAGGCCTGGGCTCTAAGCCTCTTCCAGCCTCCAGTTTTGCAGATTAGCTTTGGGCAAATCACCAAGTCCCTGTTCAGCCAGGCTGGACCTTTAGTCTTCCTGCCTGTCCAGTGGAGGGTCCTGTTCACCTGGGAACAGCCTGAGGTGCTAAGCACAGCCCTTAGTTTACAGCAGTTCTGGATTAAGGGCTCTGCTATCACAGTGGCCAGCACTGATTCTGGGCATTTGGCAAGGTTTACTTTCAGGAGTTCCTGGGAAAGATGAATCTTTGTGTGCGATCCTTGAGCTCAGAATTTCCCTCTAGATCAGTTTGTTTTTTTTTTCGGTTTTTGTTTTTTGGTACCAGAGATCGAACTTGGGACCTTGCGCTTGTGAGGCAGGTGGCAGAACCACTGAGCCAAATCCCCCCGCCCTAGATCCGTTTTTATAAATCAGCACAGCTACTGTCTCCATCATCATCTCCATTAAGAACTTTATACTTTTATAGTATATTGTCCTGGTTTGTCACTTGGGCACGTTGGTGATTGGCTCTCTCTGATCCTGCTGTGTGATTCTAGGTCAGCCCCTGCCCCTTTCTGGCCCTCAGTCTCCCTTTCTATGCAGTGGGGATTTGCAATCGCAGGTGTTTCATGGTCTAAGGCTGTGAGGTCACCTCCCACCTGCCGGGAGTATCCCATGGGCAAGAATGCTGTGGAGTCCATCTTTGGCACCTGTCTTTGGCCCAGGAACCAGAGACTAAGGTGTGTGCTCTCTGACCCAGCCAGGTCATCCTAGAATCCTCCGAGACTTCCCCTTCCTCTCCACCGGACGGGACCCCTTTTGTTTTCATGTTCCCAGGCGGTGGCTCTTCCCCATGCTGTGCTTTCACATCTGCTCTGGTGCTCCCAGAGCGTGACCCTTGACCTGTGTGTGCAGCTTCCCTGAGCCATGTGTGCCTGGGTCATTTGCTCATAGCTGAGAGGGCCTGCCTGGGGGTTCACATATTCCTTCCAAGACTTCTCAGTGCAGGGCACATGGCCTTTGGGTCTCAGGGCATCTGTGCAGTAGTGGATAAGTCTTTGCACTTGGGGTTCAGTTTTCATCATAACATCAAATGGTCATTCGTGGTCTCCTAACCAGAGCTTGTAACCAAGTTCTGGGGGCACCTACCACAGAATTCTGTGCTAGTGCATAGTTATGCACATGTTCTTGGGCCTCTGTATGTTTCCAGAGTAGGTGTTGGGTCTTCTTTCGTTTGTTTAAAGTGGCCGTGGTTCATCTGGGCTCTAATTAGTTCTAGCACTAGCATTCCAGATCCTTGAGTGTGGTGAGGTGCTAGGCAGGGCTGAGACCTGCTTTCCCATGTGGCTGTGGCCCCCTGGACCCTGACATTGTCAGGGGTGCAAACTCCTTGTGAGACAGATCTTTTTCAGACGCTCGTCAAGGGAACTGCTTTTCCCTTTGCAAATGGAATCTTCCCAGCAAAGCCTGAAGGGTCCCTTGGATTGTGTGTTTAAAAATCACTGGGTGGGTGATCCCTTCGTGCCTTGGAGATGATCTGTGTCTGATATCCAGTTAGCCCAGGTGTGGGCAAGATTTTACAGTTCTGGTTTTATTCCAGTTTACTGATTTCAAAAGGTACTTAACATTTAGAGTGAATTCTTGTTTGAATGACTCACTCAGACTTTTTTAAACTTTGGTTCTGGTAGAGTTTCTTTGGCTGTGTTGAAGATTCTGCCACTTGGTGACTGCTCTGGTGTGGGGGCTTGTTTTGCTTCTGGTCCATAAAGACAGAGACTGTCTAGTTTTTCCTTTACTCACAGTGCAATGTCACTCCTATTTTCTTTTTTCATAAAACGAGGATAATGGTGCAGTGGGGTAGACCGTGCAAGAGAGGAGAGTGAAGCTGGCATGGTGCCTACCACACCATGGGAGCCATACATGTGGTGGTTACCTCTCCCTCTTCTCCTGCAAGTAAACAGCCATGCTTTGGGTGGAGCAGAAGTCCCAAGCAAGGAGATAGTGGGGGCTTAATGAGCTGAGCCAAGAGGGCTTTCAGGTTTCTATTGGCATTTGTACTTTTTTGTTTTTTGTTTGTTTGTTTGTTTTGGAGACAGGGTCTCACTATGTAGTTGAGACTGACCTGGAACTCACTATGTAGCCCAGGCTGGTCTCGAACTCACAGCGATCCTCCTGCCTCAGCCTCTTGAGTACTGGGATTACAGGCATGCGCCACCATGCCCGGTGGCACTTGGACTTTTTGGTGGTGGGTTGCAGGGTTCAGGCTACTCCCTCATTTGGTGCCAGCCTCCATGACCTGGGTTCATACACCGTGTCTGGCCTCTTGAAGCCTTCTCTTTTGAACCTTCCTTGTAATTTTTCTGTTTCTAGATGTTTGAGACAGAGACAGATGAGAAGAAAGAGATGCCCTTGGAGGAAGGGAAGGGACCAGGTGCTGAGGACTCCCCACCCAGCAAGGACCCCTCTCCTGGGCAGGAGCTGCCTCCAGGACAAGACCTTCCACCCATCCAGGATTCCTCTTCAGGGCAGGAACCTGCTTCTGGCCAAGAATCTCCAGCAAACAATGACTCACCTTCTGGCCAAGAACCCCCTCTGGGCTCAGAAGCCCCACCAAGTGAGGACTCCCCATCAGGCCAGGGGTCCCCTCCAGCCTCAGACCTACCACCCTGCCAGAACCTCGCTGCTGGCCAAGAACCTGCTCCTTGCCGGGACCCTGCACTTGGCCAAGACCTCCCTGTGGTCCCAGAGCCCCTTGCCCAGACCTCTCCACCCTGCCAAGACCCGTCTCCCGGCCTGGTCTCCCTGCCAGCTGAGGCCCTTGCTGAGGAGACCTCGAGCTCTGGGGACCCATCGGCAGCTACTGAGGGCCTGCCTGCCACCTCCAGACCCACCTTTGTGATCCCCGAGGTCCGGCTGGACAGCACCTACAGCCAGCAGGCCGGGGCTGAGGGGGGCAGCTCAGGAGATGAAGAGGAGGCAGAGGGGGCAGAGGAGGTAGAGGAGGAAGAGGAAGACGAGGATGAGGACACAAGCGATGACAACTGTGGCGAGCGCAGCGAGGCCAAGCGCAGCAGCATGATTGAGACGGGCCTGGCGGGTGAGGGTAGCCTCTCGCTGCGGGTACAGAACTCGCTGCGGCGCCGGACACACAGTGAGGGCAGCCTGCTACAGGAGGCCCGGGGCTCCTGCTTCTCCTCCGACACCACCCTGCACTGCTCTGATGGCGAGAGTCCCTCGCCCAGCTGGGCCATACCTTCACCCCGAACCCTCAAGAAAGAGCTGGGCCGCAACGGTGGCTCCATGCACCACCTTTCCCTCTTCTTCACAGGACACAGAAAGGTAAGAGGGTAAAGGCGGAGGAGGGCGGGCTTGTGGGAAGCGGGGGAGTGGGCATCAGCGCCCACCCACCTCTGCCCTTCTGTATGCCTCCCAGTGAACCTCCTGTCCACGTGACGGAAGACAAAGCCAAGGCCGGAGGGACCAAGAAGTCAGAGGCTAGCCTGAAACCAACCGTGTCTTTAAGGCCCCAGACGCTGTAATCCCACAGTTTCATTGTCCTCAGAGAAGGCAGAGAAGGGTTGACCTAGCCTAGGACACTGAGTATTTGGGTGTAAAATATCTGAGATAATAGCTGAAGAAATAAAGAGTTACAATTGAGATCTGCTGCAGGCCTAGCTGAACTAGAAATCTGTCAGCCAATAGCAACAAAGAGCACATATTTATCCTTTGCTGGCATTATTCTAAGCAGTTTGCACTAACCCAGTAATTCTTAAAACAACTCTATGGAGTAGATGGCATTTTGTGCCCATTTTACAGATGCAGAAACTGAGGCACAGAGATGTAATCTAGCTTTTCCAGATACACAGTTTACCAGTATCTAAACCAGAATTAGATTCTGGTTCCAGGACTAGAGCTCATAAGTACTATGCTGTCTGTGCAAATACTTATACATAGGTACGTAAGGATTTAATGGATTTCCTGTGTGTGCCAGGTCCTCTGCTCAGTGTCACAGCAAGGGCCACAGAGATGTGAGAAATCTGTTTTCTGTGGGGGCTGGGAGCACAGCCTCACAGGGAATAGAGATTGTGCCATGGCCTTGAAGCCCACCAACCAGTTTGACCCTGGGATCTGTCCCTTACTTCCTGCATGGGTTTTAGCAAGTTTTCTGGCTCCTCTGAGCCTCACTTTCTTTCCCTGGAAATTAGAGGCCAGTAGCACTTGAGTCCAGAGGTGGGAAGAATGAACCAGAAGAGACTAGGGCCCCAAAACATGAACAACATTGGTGTAGGCCTTACGGAGCGCTGGTGCCTTTCCTGCTCTTGAAGTACAAGAACAGGGTGAGGTGTTATTATGACAAGTGAGTGTGGTTCAATGGGAGGGGTAATCAGGGACCAGGAAGCAAAGGTGACCCTCAGAGATCTGGAAATTCAGAAGAGACCCTGGAACCTGGGCCCCACAGGGAAAGCATTTGAAAAAAGATGCTCCAGCCTGGCCTGAAAGGTCAAACAGGTTTAGAATATTCAGAGGAAGGGGCAGGCATTCTTTGGCTAGAGCAGGAGATTCCTAAAGGGCAACGTGTGGTGTGCATGCTGCCACTCTTCTCTCCAAACCCATGGCAGACATCACTAATGGATTTCAGTACACTTCTACACTGAGTTTGAACAGGAGCTCTGAAGCCCTGGCCATAAGGCAGACTTGGCATTTGTGAGGATATCTTCTGCTGCAAGGTGGTCAGTCTGGAGGGGCAGGCTGGGGCCCTCCAGAAAGGACATTGAAATGGAACACAATCCCTGAGGAATTGGGACTGGCTCTTAAGTTTCCTCATCTGTAAGCATGTGTCGTTCTTAAAACTTGGTATGCTCCAAAATCACCTGGAGGAAGTTATTCATATGTGATTTCTAGTCCCCAGCCACAGGATCTGGAATCAGAATTTCCAGGATTGTGCACACACCCTGCATTTTACACAGGCCCTCCAGGGACTGTGATGCCCTCCTGAGCTTGAGTGTCACCGTCATAGGCTGCTTCTTGAGGCAGCTGCTACAGGAGAGGCAAGGCCTCAGGCTGACCTGAGTCTGGTCTGGCTGTCCCTCTCTAGGGAGCGTCTGAGAATCAAGGACCCACTAACCTGCTTTGGCCCTTCCGATCCTGATACTCTTGCCAGATCCTTCCCTTCCCATTCTATTCCTCTGTCACCCTTGCTCTGACACAAATATTTATATTCTGACAAATCTGTGCACATTCGTGCATACACTTCTATCTAGTTCCCCAGCTCTCTCGACCCAGCTCCTATTTTAGCACACACATTTCTGGCTGGGAGTTCAGCCGGTTTGGGTCAGCTCTTTCCTGCCTCAGCTTCTTCTTTGGGTGCCCAGGTTCCCACTGGCATCTTCTTTCCCAGTTTTTGGCCCATCACCTCCTTTCTTGGGCTTGAGTGACTGCGTTGGTAGGGGCCTCAGAGAGTGTCCCCAGCCCTGTGTTGGCCACCCTCCCAGGTGACTTCCGTTTACCGGGGCTTGCGTCCTTCATCATCCTCATCCTGGTCTCTGCAGCCCACCAGCTTCAGGATTGAACCCATCCTGGGTGAGAGGCCATGAAACCTGGACCGGATGAGCACCTGGCCTAGCACCATGTCCCCTTTGCAGAAGGCCTTGGGCTAATCCCTGCCCCCTCCGAGCCTCAGTTTCCTCACCAAAGAAGTAGGTAGGGTAGCAATGCCTTCTGCATAGGGTTGATGGCAAGATTAAATATCTTGATCCAGAAATTTAGGGCAGTGCCTGTACTTGGCACTGAGGGGCTGTTTCATAAATGGCCTTCACGTTGCTGTGGAAGAGGCAGAGAGGAAGCGGAGGTCAGCAGGAACAAGAGTGGTGACACCTGTGTCCCCCTCACAAAGTAACAGCCATCCCTCTCTGACCTTCACAGCAGGGCTGTGTGGTGGGTCTAGCGCTCCTCTCTCGGGGTGGGGCTGAGGCTGTTTTGTCCCAGGCTGCACAGCCAGCCAGGTTGCAGCCAGTGACCTCACCCTGTCCAGTCCTCTGTGACTCTGCCCCAGACCCATGCATCTCATGCTGATGAGGGGCTGACTGGGCCAGTTTGGGCGGAGGTGGGGCGTATTCCCCCACACTTCCATGTTCTTGGCTCGGGCCTGCCTGTCCTGGAAGGTCAGTGATGGGCCACTATTCCCAGGCAGTGTGAAGAAGAGGTAGTCTTCAGCTTGTGGATCCAGGTAGGCCCAGGTTCAAATCTCAGCTCTGCCTCCTCCTTCCTGACTTTGAGACCTTGGCCAAGTAGCTTCTTTCTCTGAGCTTGTTTTCTCTTATAAAATACGAGAATGCTAGGTCTTCTTGGGTTTTTTCTAGGGATTCAGGTGGTAGGCTGTAAATCTCTGTGCTGGGGGCATTGCAGGCTCTGTGCACAGGGCAGTGATTTGGTCATAAGCTGGGATGCGAATTTGTGCTGCTGTGTGAATGAGCTGCCACTGCAGGGAATGCGTGCTGCCTGCCACAGGGGGACTGTCAGTCCCTGCTGTCCCTTCTTTCCCCATTGCTGTCACCCTGCCCTTGTATATCCCGAGTGATCTCCACTGTAAGCAGGAGTGTTGGAATCAGACGGGTCTTAGGGATGGTCTGTGTGGCCACAGCTGTCCCACTGAAGTCCAGAGAGAAAGACCTCAAGGTAATCCAGTGGGTCATTGTTCCCTGTGTGGTTAGTTGGCTCATGGCGCCCCCTGCTGCTGGACCCCCAGGTGCCCAGCAGAGCGGATCCAGAGGCCTGTACCTGCCATTTTCCTGGTGAGCCAAAGGAGGAGCTCCACAGCATAAATTCGGGTCTGGGCCCAAGATGCTGTCATTAAAGCACAACCCCAGCCTGGCCTGGTTCAGCCTTGGGTCACAAGCCATTCTTTGCCAGTGAAGAGACCGCAGGCGTTGGCCCTACCCTGGCTTCCTTCCTCCCACCCAGCAAGGGACTGGCTCCGGCAGAGACTGTCAAGGGGCGGATGCCAGCCCACAGTACCAAGCTTCCCACCTAGGCCGGATGTCAGACAAGAAGACCCCAAAAGCGCCTTTCAGCCCCAGGATATGAGAACACTTTCAAATGGCCCAAAGAAGAGTTATTTCCCATGTCTGAACAAATAAATATAGTTTAGATCCACTGTCTTCACATGGTCACATGGGGCCCAGTCAGGGAGCCCTAGAACTCAGACCAGGACCAAGAAGAAAACTAACAGAGGTCCTGCTCACAGAGGAGCCCTCAGTCAGCACTTGGCTCTGGAGCCAGACCCCAAATTCTCTGCTGCTTGTCAACTCAGGGAGCCCAGACAAGTTAGCAAATCATTCCGGGCCTCAGTTTACGCAGCTGTAACCTGGGGGAAATAACAGCAAATGCCTCTAAGAATTGGTGCAAGAACTAAATTAGAAGGCATTGGGAGCACTGTACCTGGCACATAGCGAATGCCTAATAAATACTAAAACCTTCCCCAGCTAATAGTTACAGAGCACTTCCCACACGCTCACTATTAGAACCCTCACAGTAGCCCTCTGAGGTGAGTTCTGTTGTCACCCTCGTTGACCAATAAAGAAACGGAGGCACTGAGAGGGGTAGAACCTAACTAAGGTCAAGTCGTTAATATGTGATTGAGCTATGATTCAGATCTGGGCAATTTTGAATCTACACTCTTAATCACTACTATAATTATAGTTCTAATGATGGGACGAATTATAATTATTATTCCAAGAGGCTGTGAGCTGCCAGGCCCCGGGGGTGGCTGGGTGAGGCGGGGCAGGCCCCAGGGATTCCTGCCTGAGTACACAAAGGGCTGCTGGGTGGTTCTGGGCTTCTATCCATTTGCCTTTCAGTAGGGCAGCAGGGGATAGTGGGGAAGTGGGCCCCACTGCAGCCAGAGGATTTGAGGGGCCCCTTGGGTCCCTTCCAAGGCCTAAGGACGCAGCTTCCCTGTGGATTTGGAGAATCTCTAGAGGGGGACTCAGAACTCTATCTTCCTGTCTTAGTGTCTGCTCTTCCTGGCCTGTAGGCCCTACTCGGTGCGTGGATTCTCTGGCTGCCTGGGGGTGGGGGTGGCTCCCAAGGCCAGAACAGCTCAGCCCTCTATCAGGCTGCTTCACTTGGGCCTGTCCGTGCTGAAGATGATCGATCCCCTCCCAGTGGTGGAAGGAAGAGCCCATTTCCCAGCAGTGCAGAGGCTGGGGTGGCGGCTGGGGTAGGAGTGGTCCCCAGGCCCATTGTGTGGGGCTGATAAAGTGCGGAAGCCAGGTTAGAACGGGAGGAAGCCCAGTGCTGTAGGCCCTTTCCCACGGGTGGGGGCTTCTGCTGAGCCAGGCCAGTGTGATTGTAGCCTGTGTGTGTATTTCTGGGGAGACAGTGGTGACATTCAATGGGCCATTGGGCTACTGATAATACAGCTTGTCCTGGGACTGGATCACGAGGAGACCCAGACTCCACCTGGTGAATCGTTCACCTGCTACATGGGGTGGTTGTCACCAGGCCTCCGCTATCACTAAAAAACTGAAGCTGAGAGTCTGGGAAGCAGGACTTATGCCCAGCTCTGGGATTACACACCGTATGGGCGTGGGCTGCTGTGAGCACGTACACACACGTGTTTGTGGTTAGTAGAGAGGCAGTTGCAGGAAGGAGACAGTTTCCCCTGGGTCTTTCACTAGAATCATTAGAATTGTGCCCTGTCCTAGCATGGGAGTAGCAGCATCCTCTGGTGGAGAAACACAGCCTCAAATTCAGATGGACTTTGTTTCCAGCTCTGTCACTGAAATGCTGGGTTTTCTTGGGCAAGTGACTCGGAGCCTCTGTTTAACTTTTTGAATTCACTGTGGAGATGAATGGGATAGTACGTAACTTACGCCCATTCTAAGGTTTGGCCTCCAGTGCTAGTTCCATAAATGAAAGTATAATTCATCCATCTCTCCACCCACCTATCCATCCATTGTCCAGTGGCTGCTGCATAGAGGCCGAGAGGGCTACTGTTTTAGTCACTTTCCTCATCGCTGTGATACAACACATGATACCCGCTACTTAAAGGAGGAGAGGTCTACTTGGGCTCACAGTCTGCAGAGATTGCAGTACATAGTTGGCTGGCTTCAAGGCAGGAGAGCATGGCACAAGGGCGTGGCAGAGGAGAGCTGCTCACAGCATGGTGGACAGGAAGCAGAGAGTCAGGGAGAAGCCAGGGAGCCGATAGGTCCTTCCAGGTCAGGTTTGCCGGTGACCCACCTCGTCCTACCAGACCCTGCCTTCATAATCCAGTCGCCTTTCAAGGGCCCCCTGCTCCCAGAGCACATGAGGCTTTGGAGGACATTTTGCATCTAAACTATAAGAACTAACTCCAAGTATAAAGAACACAGACAGCATTTTTAGGCTTAGCCCATCAGTATGAGGCAACTGAAGTCCATGTTGGGTCTCATGAGAAATCCGGCTGAGATTCATACCTGGCAGCCCTCTGCCCTGTCTTGGGAAGGAGGTTCATGCCCGACCTACTCTGACTCTAGGTGTTCTGCTGTCTCAGGACACAGCCTGGGCTCTGTCATTGGGTCCTCTGTGGAGGAGGATGTGCAAGCACAGGCAGGGAAAGGGACCCAGTGGACAGCCTAGTCTAGAGGACCTGAGCCTGCAGTGTCTCTACAGGCCTGGTGCAAAGAGGGGCGTAGTCTGAGGGCTGAACAGAAAACCCTGGGATAAAGTTGAAGGCTCTGGATCAAGCAGAGAGGTTTCTTCATTCCTAGTCCCCTTACCTCTCTCTGATTCCTCCATGCACTTGACAAATTGACTTACTGAGCAAGACCAAGACTGTCTTCTGAAACTCATAGTCAAACAGAAAAGGCACATTTGGAACAAGCCATCTCAGGTGTGAGGGGATCTTGCAGGAGGTGAAGGAGGCCCAGAATTGTTCTACAGGTCATTGAGGGCTTCCAAGGGGAGGAGGTATTTGAGCGGCTTGGATGAAGTCTAGTTCTAAATTTTCCTGAAGCTGGATCTTAGGAGGAAAGGGAGGCAGGAGAATCACAAAAGGGTAGGTGGAGACACTTGTTGGAGACTGATCAATGGTGTTGCTGGAGCAGGGACCATGCTGGAGAACAACCAAAGGAGCTGTACCTCCTCTGGGCTAGAGCTTTCTCCCAGCTCCCACGTTGGAAGGCCCTGTCATATTATGGCGTTTGGATGTTATCCTGCGGGTACCAGGGAGCCTTGAGAAGTTTTAAGGCAAGAGAGGTGCTGTCAGGCCTGCGTAATGATTCACTTTGCACACTGCTCACCAATCCCAGGTCTCCTTTGAACCAAATCACAGAGCAGAAGCCTGGCTGGAGCCCTGTTCTCTTGCCTTTCAGGAGTATGGTCTCTCTGTCTTCTCCCAGGCAAGCCTGATTTCCTTCATGCACAGGGGGAGATTCCTTTAGCTGGGGGCTGTGCCAGGCCAATCACACCACATGGACAGATGGGCTGTTCCTAGTTGTGGGGGTCTCCTCCCTCAACCTGTTCTGCTTGGGGTGGGATCACTGAGGGCTGGGGCCATCTGGTTGCAAGGAGTTGCTGGATCCTGGAGCCTCTGGGTCAGGCAGCAGCCCTGGACACCCAGTCTGCATTGTGTCTGTTTTTTCTCTGCAGATGAGTGGAACTGAGGTGCTTGGGGACGATGATGAAGCCTCCCAGAAGCGAAAGACCAAAAACATGTATGTTGGGAAGATCCATGGTCCTCATTCTTGTGGTTGGGGAGGCTCCCTGTACAACTCTTCCTGTCCTGCCCAAAGGCTTGCCTCATTCTTGAGGGGGATAAAGCTGCACCCCACTCCACTCTCAGCTTAGATGGACACCAAGGAGCTTGGGACTCTGCAGTGGCCTTGAACACTCTCAATGCCACGCAAGTTGTTGGTTCAGTACCCAGAAGCTGCAGTGAACAAGAGGCAGCCAGCTCCATTGCCCTGGCCCTTTCCAGCCTCTGAGCCAAACGGTGACAAGTTCTTTGCTGTCTCTGGGCTCTTGAGTGCCTGGAGAAAGCACTGAACTGCCCACGGTTCATGGACTTCCTGTTTTTTGTTTTCTCCTCCGGGGTTCTTGAATGCTGTCTTAGGCATTACCAGGAGGGGGCGCTGCTGGCCCATCTACTGTACTGTATCCCATGCTCCACAAGCCTTTCCAGCAGTGCCAATTAAGAGAGAGAGAGAGAGTGTGTGTGCGTGTGTATCCTTGCAGCAGGGTATGGGAGATTTCTTAGGTCTCTTTATATGCCCAGGCCTGAGGTCCTGGAGACTGCGGGAGGCACCGGGAAGGAGGCTGTGGACAGACTTCCCAGAGGGACCCCCCCCCGCCACTTCCCCTCCAAGCTCAGCAGCTCTCACTATTGTGCACAAATGGGGCTAGGGAAGAAGGCAAGTGTCTCCTAGATATGTCCTGTAACCTTCATCTTTAGCGTTGACCTTGGCTGGGGACTACTACCCTATAACCTCCATCCCACCCAAGGCTCCCCTGCCTTCACTCCTCAGCCAGAAGTAGTTGCACTTTCTAGAGAAGGTGAAGTATACAAGCCAAATGCCTTGCACTGACCATCTGCCCTCAGTCGCTGGTTTGGATGGGGAGGTGGTAGTCCATTCAGTGTCAGAGTTGTTGTGGATGGTGCTCCTGCTGGGGGTAGTGTGTAGCAGTGGCGGGTGGCACAAGGGTGCTGGAGCTGCCCAGGCCCACCCTGTCACTGTAGCCCCCTTTCAGAATGGCTGCCACCTGTTGAGTGTTTGAAGCTAATACTCTTAACTGTTAACATCTGAGGTAACCATGAAAATAACAGCCAACACTGTGCCAGGCTCTGCTCCATGTGTCTTACATGTACGATCCAATTTAATTGTCACTGCTATTTGTATTTCCTTTTTTTAAAATTTAGGATCTTTTTTTTTTCTTTTTATTGAGTTTATTGGTACATTCTAGGTAGACAGTGCAGTTACATTCATTACTGGGATCTTGTACCTTTACATGACAGGTCTTGGTTCTCATTTTTCCCCTTGTCCCTGCCCTCCCTTCACCCCCTCCTAACCTCCGCATTTACAAACACTTTATTTCCACTTTTTCATTTTCTCGTATTTTTTCTTCCATTTCCTTTTAAACTTATCATGTCTTTATTTTATGAACAAGTAAATGGACCCACAAAGAGGTTAGTTCCTTGTTCATTGCAAGTAAAGTGGTGGGCTTGCTGGCTCTGATGCCTCAGATATACCTACATACCTGTGCATCTGGGAGGAAAGCCATGGCTCCCTCCAGTCACAGAGACATACAGGGGGTTCTGAGCAGGCAGGAAGCCCAGGGGCTTTGAGGTAGCCTGTAGGCTGGAGTTCAGGCAAGGCCTTCTCTGGGCTTCTGTGTCTCACCTGGCCATGTGTGGGCTGAACAAGGGGCTCTCAAGCAGGGCATTATGCCCAGGAAGCAGTGTACCCTTGTTCCCTGTTCCCCAGGGCTCTCTACAGGCTCCCTGCTGATCCCTAGACTCCTCAGCTTTGGTTCCTTGGCTTGGAATCTGCTAGACCAGGGTTCCTGGCTCTGGACAGCTGCCTCAGCCACCCAGGACAGGTGTGGCCCTCAGTGTCCTATGCCAGAGCACTTCTACACCAAGTGCTATGTTAAGGCTTCTTTATATGCCTTTTCTCGTAAGTCCTGCAACAGCCCCATAGGTGATAGGTACTCTTTTCATCCCTGTTGGATAGACTAGAACTTGACTGGCATTCAGTGGGAATCAGGCACTGGAGAAAAGACATGATTGCTGACTGCTGGGGCTGGTGGATCAGAACTCAAGGCTGCTGGGCTTCAGAACCTGGCCTCTCAACCTTCCCGATTTCCGTATCTTTTCTTCTAATTACACAGGGTGTCCCACGGGTCCTGGTGCCATTTTAAGCTTAAATAACTTCAGAAGTGTAAATGCTACAACTCACTTGAAAGTTTATTTAAATTTATTTTACACTTACTTAGCTCTGTGACTTTGATAATAAGATTTTCATTTTTGGTTTCAGTCAGCATTTTATGTCTTTGGAAGGATGGAAACCAAAAATGAAAAAACTGATTATTCAAAAACCACGAGGCTAAAAATGCATAAAAATTAAATAATTAATTTTTCAAATAATGTTTTGGCAAGTTTATAGGATTTATACATCTGAAGTTATTCAAGCTGGAAACTGCCAAGACTTTTTGGATCTCCAGCATATTTATGGATGCGTGGATCCAACGCCAATGACAGGAAGTGCCCAGCGCTGGGGACTAGGGACAAAACTAGAGCAGGAAGCATTTAACTCTTTTCTTGCTAATGGCTTCACCCATTGTGTTAATCTGGGGCCTTCTGGAGGAGTGGCCTGGCTAAAAATGGTGGTTGGCTAAAAATAGCCAGCCCTGCCACCCTGGTGGGCAGAGCCTCCTCTCCCTCCCGCCTTCCCTCTTCCTTCCCTCCCAGCAATTTGCTGACTTGTCCCCACCCCCACTGTCTCCCCAGTGCCATGGCAACGGGGAAGGCCCGGTACAAATAACTGGGTCTGGCTCCCTGCCAGGGGCGGACCCAGAGGCTGGCCCCTTGCAGACACATGCCCCTTTCACGGGCTCCCTCTCAGGGTTGGCCAGCAGGGATTCCCCCCCCACGCCCCGTCATGGTCCCTCCCATTTCCTGGCTCCTCCTGTCTGAGTCCCAGCCCGGGCTTGTGCTCTGGAGTCCAGTCTCCAGCCGGGATTCCAGCGTGTGCCTGCTCAGCGCTCGCTAGCTGCAGCCTGCACCATTGCTACTACTGCTACACGCCGCCAGCGTGGGATACAGGCTAGGGGGCAGGAGCCCAAGGGGTGCTCCCTGCAGACTGTCCTGGGGCCTCAAAGTGGGGGGCCCTGTAGAGATGCTCCGGGGCATGTACCTCACTCGCAACGGGAACCTTCAGAGGCGGCACACGATGAAAGAGTAGGTGCCCCTGCCCACTCTGGTACCCTGAGTTAGCACGGGTCAGGTGTGGCAGGGCGATCAACACTCTCTGCTTCTGCCCCCAGAGCCAAGGATGTGAAGAACAAGCTGGCCATCTTTAGGAGACGGAATGAATCGCCGGGAGCCCCGCCAGCGGGCAAAACAGACAAGATGATAAAGTCTTTCAAGTAGGTCCTGCCGGCACCGGCACCCTTGGGATCCTGCAGACACTCATTCCCTGGCTCCTGGGGAACAGGGCTGAGTGGGCTTTCAGGGAAGGGGTTTTGTCTGCTCTGGGGTGATGGAGGGTCTTGTGGTGGGAGCTGGTACCCAGCAGGCAGCAGTCCTCACAGGGAACAGCTGGCCGGGGGCGGGGAGGAAGGCCAGGCAGGGGTGAGGTGGGAGCTGGGCCAGGCCCAGGTTAGCTGACAAAGCCCAGTCCCTGCCTTCTCCACACACACACCCCCGCCCCCAGCCTCACAGCCCTCCCGTGTTCCTTCCTTGCCCCTCAGGCCTACCTCAGAGGAAGCTCTCAAGTGGAGCGAGTCCTTGGAGAAGCTGCTGCTTCATAAATGTGAGTGGGCCCAGCCGCTCTGTTTCCCCTCCTGCTTTCTGCCTCTCTCCTTTCCCCTTATCCGGGGCAGGGAGTCCTGGGGAGGCAAAGAGAAGCCTCTCCTGGGCCCCCTCAGGTGTCCCTGTTGTAAGGAAAGGCTGGGCTCTAGTGAGGCCCCGGGTTTGACCTTGGAGTGGACTCCCGCCAGCCCCTCCTTGCCTGTGGGAGTTGGCCCTGCCTGCTGGAAGCCGTGGGGACCTGTGTGTTCAGATCCATGTTCCCAGAATAAACAAATAAACATTTCCATGTACTGAGGGCTCACTCATACTGGGCCAAATGTACCCATGTCTCATGGGCAAATCCCAGCTGATCCCCACAGGGCTCTGGGAGACGGCCCTGATGGTCACTATCTTACCAATGCGAATGCTGAGGCACAGATGAGGAGAGACATGGCCAAGGTCCATAATGGGGCAGGGCCAGGGCTAAGACCGTGTCCCGGGGCTCCTGAGACTTCTTACTGAACTTTTAGCACATCTACCCTCAAGGCCCCAGGAGGGTAAGCTGTGGGTTCCAACCAGCCACTCTTCTTACCTGGGCTCTGGGGTTCTCCTCACAGATGGATTAGCAGTATTCCAGGCTTTCCTTCGCACGGAGTTCAGTGAAGAGAACCTGGAGTTCTGGCTGGCATGTGAGGACTTCAAGAAGGTCAAGTCACAGTCCAAGATGGCAGCCAAGGCCAAGAAGATCTTTGCTGAATTCATTGCAATCCAGTCTTGCAAAGAGGTAGGCCTTTGGCTGGGCTTTCGTGGCCCAGTGGCCCTTCAGGTGTAAGAGGGTAGCCAACAGCTCAGGAAAGGGAGAGGCCATACGGATTCTCAAGGGAGATGGGGCCAGGGAAGAGGAGGAACCTGACTCATGACAAAAATAATCCCATCTAGGCACTGCTATCCCATCCAGGCACATGCTGAGCCCTTTATGTACATGCTGTCATGTTTATTCCTTACAGCAACCCGTGCAATAGCTTTGAATATTATCTTTATTTTAAAAATGGGGAGAGGGTCGTAGAGAGAGCCCAATCATAGTCACGAACATCTGTTGAGAGCGTACTGTACACCAAGTACCATGCGCACAAGGCTTTATGTGGGTGCCCTCACTTCATTCTCACAAGTCTTTGAGGAATGCACTAACATTCCTAGCCCATGGATGGGAAACTGAGGCTTTGCAGTTGGTGAGTTACAGAAGGCCATCTAGGTGTGACACTGCCGGGATTTGAACCTAGCAAACATGACCTTAGGGCTGTGTTTTCAGGCCCTATAAACTCTGCCACCGCAGAAGTGACTACTGCACCAGGACTTGGGTCTTCTGGCCCAAGGGGGATCCTTGGGGATCCAGGGGATCCTTGTGATGTGGTATAGAGAAGGAGGTGGTATTGGAGGGGAAGCTGGAGTGGCTCCTGACTTTGCAGCACCTGGCCTCCAGGCTCGGTCCCTCATGGGCAACCTTGACCACATCCTCTGTGACCCCACAGGTAAACCTGGACTCGTACACACGGGAGCACACCAGAGACAACCTGCAAAGCGTCACACGGGGCTGCTTTGACCTGGCACAGAAGCGCATCTTTGGACTCATGGAAAAGGACTCGTACCCTCGCTTTCTCCGCTCTGACCTCTACCTGGACCTAATTAACCAGAAGAAGATGAGTCCCCCACTCTAGGGACCACCAGAGTAGAGCTCAGCATTCACACCAAGCGGGCTGGGCCCCTGCCCACCTGCCTCCCCTCCCCCCTGCGACGGAGGGGACAAGCAAGCCCCCAGAGGCTGCGTCTCCGGACAGACAGTTGGATATTTGGATTCAAGGCCTGGACCAAGAGGTCTAGGCTACTGGAGGAGTAGAAGGACTGGCCCCATTGGGTCCCCACTGCCCTGGTACGAGGGGGACCGGGGCCCCGGCAGGTCAGGGGCCCTGGCTGAGCCAGATCTGGAGCTACCGCTCCCTGCTTTGGAGATTTGGAGATTTTGTGTTGACCAAGTTCCTAAAAGAACTGGCTGATGGGGCAGGAGGCCCAGGCCTGGGCACTGGGGTCCTCCTGGGGGCTGCTGGGGCTTGCAGCTCACACCCTCACCTTGAGACTTATTTATTTAAACAGTAGTTGGATGCTTGGCACATCGTCCTATAATAGGAAACCCTTGCCTCATCAGTTTTCCTAATTTACAAGTGCAATATCTTAACCAATGCCTTGTGAAAAGCCACCCTCAGAGAAGGTGGTCACCATCTTCCAGTGTCAGGGCATTTCCTGGACCCAGGCACCAGTAGCAGGCATCTGGACCATCTGGACTCTTGAGGCCTGGAGGGGCTCTGCAGTCTGACCTCCACAGAAATCCAGCACCCCCTGGGTGGGCGTCCCTCGGGACCTCCAGGAAAGCATGGCACCCTCAGACCACACAGTAGCCCAGTGCAGGAGCAAATAAAAGGCCTGTGTTATTTCTTGTTCTTGGCGTTTTCTGTGTTCCTGCTCTCGAGCCTTCACAGGTGGCTGGGGCCGCTGGTTGTCTGGCTGTGGACCCAGAAGTTTCTCTCTTGCCATTACCTGCACCCCACTCTGAGCCACTGGGGCACCGGGGATCGCTGCTCTTAAACTGCCCCTGTGGCCGGAGACAGCCACATCCCTTCAGTTGTTCATCACCTCTCCTCTCCATGGCCTCACTTCCATTTTACAGTTGAAGAGTTTGAGGCATGGGTGACTTATCCCAGGTCATGTGTGCAGCAGGGGGCAGAGGCCGGATTCAGCCTAAGCCAAACAGGCTGCAAAGCCTCTGCTCTGGATGGCTGTGCTCTACTGGCCACAAGACGGAGTCCTAGCTTGATCATAAAGTGGCTATGTGACCTTCAGCAAGTAAGGCTTCTCTGCCTGGCCACACCCTGATGTTCTGGCGGAGCTTTCAGGAGTTCAGGGATGGTTGGTAGAGGCAGATGGGGCCAGAATCTCAGGTAAGGCTCTCAGAGGCCTCTGGACAGAAGGAAAAGCTGAGAAGGGAACAGGAGATAGTGTCCCTCTGCAGCCTGAGGCCAGGCTCTCCCCTCTGTATCTTTGCACCCTCAGAAGGAGATGCAAGTTGAAGAAAGGCCTGATCCAAAGCTATACTCCAGGCCAAGACCTTGACCACTTGCTTATTATGGGGGCTGAGGAAGGCCCAGGCCCCAGGCCCTGCTAGTGCCAAAGCTGGTGCCTGGGGCCCACACAGGCAACCTCCCGGGACGAGGGCGTGGCAAGGGTGTGGCCTAGGGTGGGGACTGGCTCCACTATGCTGATTAGACTGGATGGAAAAGCTGCAGGAGGGGCTGCGCCCTCCTCCCCTTGAACATTGTTCTCTGCCTGGGGTCTTGGGCCCAGGTCAGCTCACCAGGGACGTACAGAAGACGTGCGACTGTATTGTCCTCCTTGCCTCCCTTTGCCAGAGAGGGTCAGAATTAGTGATCTCTGGAAGCTGAGCCCTCTCCGGGGCTGCAGGGACCTGGGTGCTGAGAAGATCTTTGGTCTTGTTCCTTCTGCAGATCCTGGGGCTTTACTCGGGAGTTAAAGGCGAGCTGACTACCCTATGACTGCACCTGACTTCTGCCCCTCTGCAAATGGCGTACCCCAAATCCCATTTTGGAAGGACTTCCGGTGTGCCAGTCGTGGGCAGGACAGGAGACTGCCCCTGCGCTGTGCTCCCAGCACCATGCACGTTCTTTGGTCAGCCCTGGCAAGCAGCCGTGGTCAGGCATGGCTTCTGTGTCTCCAAAGGCTGCTCAGGCTTCAGAATGAGGCATTCCTGGGTTTGAGTCCTGCCGCTGCCACTCGCTTGCTCTGTCCCCTCAGTGAGTCACTGTGTCCCCTGAATCTGCAAAATAGAGAAGACAGTAATGACTTAGTGCTGGGATGAAGATCCAATGTTCTAGTCATAACTGGGGGCGTGGTATGCAGTAGGGACTCCACACATGAAAACTTTTCTTGCCCCTTAAGGAAAGGACTGGCTGTTTTCCTCCAAGCCCCAGGCCTCACATTGGACCTAGCCAGCAAGCCCCATTTGGCTCTGCAAACAGGCCACCTGGTGGCTGGCAGTGCAAGGAGTAGAACTGGACCCTAGCTGCTCCCTAACTCGGAGCAGGCCTCTCCCAGGCTGGAGTTTGGGGACTGACAGCTGAGGCCTAGGGAAGACTGTCATGCCGCTCTCTATCTTCCTCCAATGCTTTGGGCAGAGCTGCGTCAGAGCCCAGGACTCCTGCGCTCTGGTCTGACCCGGCCTATTGGTAGCATCTTTTGCTTGGAGGAGCCACTGAGTCCACAAAGAGTCCCTCTCCCCTTTCTTTGGGTCCCAGGGATCCAGCTTTGGGGTAGGTGCTCCACCGTCTCATTCCCGAGTTGCCACAGTGACCAAAGTCCAGGAGAACAAAGTCTGGCAGGTGGAATTCCCAGTTTGGAAGACACCACACCCTGATTCCCTTGGTCTCAGAGCTGCTCCAGCTTGTGCTGTGCAGCTGGAGACCAGACCGGAAAGGTGCCTGGGGCCTCCCTGCTGGCCCAACCTGGGCTGCCTGGGGGACGTGGGTACTTCCCTTGCTCCATTAGGCCCCCAGGCCTCTCATTTGTACAGTGTTTTTTTGGGCTGGTCCCCACTTTTCTTTTACAGGCTCCTTTCTCTGGGTGGCATCCCAGGTGCCCTGAGGTCCTCATATGCAAGCCCCAACCCCTTTGCACAGGTGAGAAGCTTAAGGTGGAGGGAGGGGAAGCAGCTCAGTGAGGGGTTGGAAGGCTGGGCCTTGGTCAGTCAGGTGCTTGGGTTCAGTTCCTGGCTCAGCTGCTTACTACTAGCTGGGAACATTCGCACAGACCACATGGCCTCTCTTTGCCTGTTTTCTCATCTCTACGTTGTGTGTACTGGCACCCAGGCCTGAGTAGCCGTGGCTGAGCCAAGGTCAAGCGTGTGGCAAGTTTAGTTCAGTGCCTGGCATGGGGCAAGTCCTCCTTAAACGTGAGCAGCTCTTAGCGACAGCATTATTTGGGGTCACCAGCGAGTGGCAAAGCTCTTCTTATGCTTCCCACACCTGGGTTCTAACCCAGCCCAACTGGATTGGAGCCTGCAGTCTTAGATCACAGATCTTATGCTTCCAGGGACAGTTTTGCTGGAGGGCAAAGCCAGACCGTTCCAGGAAGAAAGTAAAAAACAGCACGTCCTTACTCTGCTGCCCAGTCTTGGCCCTGCTGGGAGCAGCTGGGGTCAGCTGGGAGGGTGGAGAGGCAAGAGGGCACAACAGTGTCACTCAGTAGGATGGCAGTGGGAGGGGACTCAGCTGCAGCCAGACTCCTTACGAGAGAGCCAAGGCTGTGGGAGCACCGTGTTCTCCTAGCCTGGCGGGAGGCAGCCATGGCCTCCAGGACGCTAGCATGGCAGACATTCTGGTCCAGTCCCTTCCTTGCATCCTTCTATGACAGGGAGCTCATTATCTCCCAGGGAGCTCATTATCTCCCAGGAAGCTCAGAGGGCCTAGGTGTCCCTTGGAGTGTCCGAAGTTCCCTCCATCTCAAGTTGGGTCCTGGGGCAGGTTAGTGATAGCCCCTATAGATGTCCTTCCCTGACCACCGCCATAGACTGACCGATTTCTCTGGCCTCCTTCCTACCTGCTTCATTCACTATAACCAAACCCTCTGAGCTCCCATCTAACCTCCCCACCTTTGCACCCTCTGGTCACTTTGCCTGCTATCCTTCTCTGGATCCTTCATTTGACATCTTCCCAGACAGCCTCTCTGAGCCACCTCTCCACCCAGACAAACCTCAGATCATAAAGACCCTGCCTTGTCCCTTCTCTACCTCTCCAGAAGAGCTTTCAGGCCCTCCAATCATGGGTGGGGCTCAGAGAAGCCGCTGTATGCAGCTGTTTTGCTTACAATGGCAACATCTGTGGAACATCTGGGTCCTCTTCCTGGCTGGGTCTGGCAGGAGAGACAGAACACCCAGACCCCCCAGTACCCTGGCCCCCTGCCACTGATGTCCTGTCTTTGGGTGGGAGGAGGCAGTGGGGGACTGAGGAACAGCTGTGAGGTTGATGGGATCCTCTCCATACAGATGGGCCAGGGACAGCAGAGGGAGGGCCAGAGAATAGGTACAAGAAAACAGCTGCACCCATACAAGGCACACAACACGCATGTCCCATGCCTGATCTCTGCTAGTCCTCACAGCATCCCCTGGAGGAAGATTGGAAAGTTACGTTCATTCTGCAAAAGAGAAAAATTAAGGCTCAGAGACAGTGGACAAGCTTGGCTGGCTGAGTAGGCATCAGAACCAACACTCCCAATTTCCGGGCAGCCTTAGGTAGCCATCATTCCAGCCATCAGAGATTCCCAGGGGCTGAGCTGCACCTGAGTGGCGCCCGACTCATGCAGGCTTCCCCAGCCTGAGGGTAAGGCAGCCCAGAAACCTGGGCGGGGGGCTGTAAGTGCAGAAAGCCTTGTCCCAAGTTCAATTTCAGTTCCTAGTGGGCTACAAAGTGCGAACAACAGTCCCACCTCACTGGCCCTTTGGACACACGGAGATGACGAATGGGTGGGGGGCAGGGGGAGGAGCCTGTGGCTGGGGAGGAGCCTGTGGTTGCGAATAAGCCACCAGGAAGGGAGGGTACACCCCAGCCAGGCCCCAGAGGTTCTACTTGGGCTCATCAGAGATCTACCTGTGCCATCAGGGAGCTGGCCTGGGAGCCAAGAGTTCTAGGCTCTGCCTTCACATCTGTCCCAAACCCTCTGTGTGACCTTGGACCTTCGAGGAGGCCACTCACCACTCTGGTCCTTGGTACCTCCTGGAAAACAAGGGGAATCAAGCTTTGCCTCCTGTCTGAGGACCTTCCTAGGGGCGGGTAGCACCTGTGGAGCATGAAGGGCTGAGGTCTAGGTGTGGCTCCATATACAGGGTGTGAGGATGGTGTGGCCCCTTCTCTGGACGACTGAGGGGTGTGAAAGGATGGAGCAGTCTGTTTACACTTGCCCCGGGCTTGGGGTGTGTGTGGCGTGCCACTTGGGACACTGGCCTTCTGCCCTCTGCCAGGCTGGAGCCTCTGTTTGCTGGTTATTTACAAGCTTCTGCTCTTGCGGCAAAGTCCATACTCCGTCTCGCTCAGACCTCACACAGGCACACCCAAAGCTCAGGGCAGAGCGCCCCTCTGGGGCAGGCAGCTCCCTTTGCAGCCTCCAGGGGAAGCTGTAACAAGATGAAGCAGGTGAGCAAGGGCAAGAGCCTTCAGTCTGGTTCTGCTGCTGATTTGTGGCAAGTCCTTTTCCTCGCTTTCCCCTTCTGAAAATTGGGTGCCTTCCTAGAACCAACTGACTGACACCTCCAGAGATGTTTGCTTCTCCCTCTGAAGTGATTTTACAGTGGGACTTGGAAAGCAGTGATTAAGAGCATAGGCTTTGGGGGCTTCCAGACCTGGGGTTGACACCTCAAGTCAATGCCAGAGTGAAGGCTCAATGCTTCTTTACTGCTTCTTTACCTCTCGGAGCCCCTGTCTCCTCATTTATAACCAGGGGCCGTAAGAGCTCTTAGCTAACACAGTGGTTGTGGTAACATGGAAGCAGCCATTGGGCTTTTGGTCTGTCTGTTTTCTGGTCCACATTTCCGGTCCTGCCCTCCACACCCCACTCAGGGCCTTTGCACATACAGCTCCCACTGTCTGGCCTGCTCCTGCCCAAACCCTTAGTTCGCAGTGACAGTACTGATGACAATGAGTGTTTAATATTTGCCAGGCACTGGTTTAGAACAGTAGTCACTTCCACTCATCAGCTGGAGACAGCTGGCACAGGTGGAGATGGGTGGACTTGGCCTTTCCCTGAGGGCTGGGCTCAGATCCATTATGTGAGACCCTTTCCCCAGCACAAGGATTAGCATCTTCCTGGGAAAGGTCTCATTGCAATGAAAATGGTTTAAATTTGAAATAATTATATATTCACAGGAAACGACCAAGATAGTACAGAGTCCCATGTACCCTTCACCCAGTGCCCCTCAATGAGTACTTCTTTTATAATTACAGTACAATAGAAAAGCTGGAAACTGCCTTTGGTACGATGTGTGTAGTTGGATGTCATTTGATTACATGTGCAAGTTCGTAAAACCACTACCACAATGATTCCATCGCCCACAAAGCTCTCCCTCAATATCCTTTTTATAGCCACACCCATCCCCCACTACCGTCTCTGACTCCGGCAGGCACTAATTTGTACTCTACCTATATAATTTTGTCATTTCAAGAATGTCACATAAATGGACTCATGCAGCAAGTGCCCCTTGGAGATTGTCTTTCTTTATTCAGCATAAGGTCTTTGAGAGGCATCCAAGCTGCTGTGTATCAATAGTTAGTTCCTTTTTATTGCTGAGTAGTGTTTCATGGTATGGATGGACCCGTTTGCTTAACTAGACCCTGTTAGGTAAAAAGAGCCAAAAACCAGGACCAGAGCAGGATCATGACAAGCCTTTGTTATGGGGAGGGTCTGCCGGGCTTTCTCTGAACAAAGGAGAGAGCAGCATGGCTGACACAGGGAGCGCTTCTGATAGGAGTGGGGTGGGGCTCGTAGGGGCCAGGGTGGGATTGGGTGATGGAGCGGCTGGGGATTGGGGGAGTTGTGACATCACTAGGACGGGCTTGCGTCATCACCTGTGGGCACCATCCTAAGGCGAGGGAGATCTAACAGTCCCCTGTTGAGGTATGTCTTGGTTGTTTCCAGTTTGGGGCCATTCCATATGGAAGGAGTTTAAACAGTTGTGTGGAGGTTTGTGTGGATGTAACTTCTCATTTCTCTGGGACACATGTGTAAGAGTGCAGTTTCTGGGTCATACGGTAAGTGCAGGCTTAGATTTTAAGAAATTGCCAAACTTTTCCAGAGGGGTAGTACCATAAGAAATGTGTTGCTCCGAATCCTTGACAGCATTTAATGTAGTTCTCACACTTTATTTTAGCTTTTCTAGTAGAAATATGGTAATGTCTCATCAGTCTTCATTCACACTTTTGTATCTCTTCATGTATTTATTTGCCGTCACTCTGTTCTCACTGGTGAAATGTCTCTTTGTGTCTTTTGCCCATTTTCGAGTTAGATTGTTTGCTTTTTCACTATCGAGTTTTGAGAGTGCTGTATATGAAATCTCTGTATGATTCCTTTGTTAGATGCATAACTTGCTAATAACTTCCCAAACAATGTAGTTTGTCATTTCATTCCCCTATTGTCTTTGGCAAAGTGAAAGCTCTGACTTTGGAGGAAGTCTAGTTTATCTTTTTTTCTTCTTTTATGAATCGTGTTTTTGGTAGTATATCTAAACTTTTCACTAAGTCTTAGGACCTGAAACTTTACTCTTTTGTTCACTTCTAAAAGTTTTGTACTTTTACCGTGAAATTTGCGATCCATTTGGAGCTAATTCTTGCATAATCTGTGAAGTTCAGGTTGTGGTTCATTTTTTGTATGAGGATATTCAATTACTATGGCACCCTTCATCGATTATCCTTCCACTGAATCACCTTAAAACAAAAACAAAAATCCAGGGGCCGGGGATTTAGCTTAGTCGTGCCCCACCTGCCTGGTGAGTACAAGGTCCTGAGTTTGATCCTCAGTATCAGAAAAACAAAAAACCCCTGCAGCTTCATTGAGACATCCACATACCATACCATTCACCTAAAATGTACAATTCAGCAGTCTTTAGCATATGCCCAGGGCCATTCAACTACCATTACAATCAATTTTCGAACATTTTCATCACCTTCTAAAAGAACTTCATACCCTTCAGCAATCATTCCCTTCCTCTTATCCCACCCTCACTGCCCTGGGCAACCACTCTCTAATTTGTGTTTCTAGATCTGCCTATTCTGAACATTTCACATAAATGGATTCACACAATGTGTGGTCTTTTGCAGCTGGCTTCTTTTACTTAGCATACTGTTGTTGAGGATTATCATGGTGTAGTATGTATCACTTGTTTCTCTTTATTGCCTAATAAAATTTCAGTGCCTATAATTACATTTTATATGCCACATAATGTCTCACATTTTATTTATACATTCATTGATGGGCATTTGATTTGTTTCCAGTTTTGGCAATTATGAATAAAGTTACTATGAGTGTTTATGTACAGTTTTCTTGTGTAGACATGTTTTCAGTTCTCTTGGGTGCATACGTCACTGTGTAATTGGTGAGTCACAAGCAAACTCTATTTTTAACCTTTTGAGACATTGCTAAACTAACCATTCTACATTTCCACCAAGACTGCGGTAAGGTTTCCAATTTCTCCACATCTTCACCAACACTTGTGACAATGTCCTTTTTATTATACCCATCCTACTGGGTGTGTGGTGGTATCATTGGATTGCTTTTGCCATTCTGTCAGAAATCCACTGGTGATATTTGTCCTGGTCAGTTTCAAGTTTCTCTAGTGTGTTCCATTGATCTACACCTTTATCCTTCTGCCTATGCCACACATTCTTGATCACTGTATTATATAATAAGTCTTGAAATCAGGTCGAGTGATTTTCCCAGTCTTCTTTCTTTTCAGAATTATTTTAACAATTCTAGTTCTTTTGCTTTTCAGTATACATTTTCGGATAATCTTGTCTAATTTATAAAACATCTTTCTGAGATCTTGATACTAATTGCATTGAACCTGTATTTCAACTTATGACAAACTGCATAAGATGTTGGATATTCAAATCCATGAATGTGGTGCGTCTTGCTATTTATTTAGATCCTCTTTGATTTCTTTCATCAGCATTTTGTCCTTTTTAGCATGCAATTCCTTTACATGATTCATTAGATTTATATCCATTTCATTTTTTCAAAAGATGATTGTATATATTCTATTTTTGGTTTTAGCTTTTATGTGTTCATTGTTAGTGCAAATAAATACAATGGACATGTAGAGTTCTTAGCTTGTGATTTTGCTGAATTCAATAGTTCCAGGAGTTTTTTTTTTTAACAATCTTGTCACCTACAAGAAAGGACAATTTTATTTTTTTCCTTTCTGATCTGAATGCCATTTATTTATTTGCTTGCCTTAATAGGCTTCAGTCTTTACCAATAAGTACGATATTATCTGTAGGGTGTTTTGTAGATGCTCTTTACTTATATAGGAAGTTGTTTTGTGTGTATAGGAAGCTCATTTATTTATGTAAGAAGTAGCCCTAATTTCTGAAAGTTCTTATCTTGAAGGGTGTTAAGTGCTTTTTTTTTTTTAATATCAGTTGATATGACCATGATTTTTCTGCGTTATCCTGTTAGAATGAAAGATTACATTGATTTGCACATATCAAACCAACCTTGCAAACCTGGAATAACTTCATTAGTAATGGTATACAATTAAAAATATATGTTTCTGACTTTGGCATTCATAACCCACAATAAACAAAGGGCACCTCTCTGTTCTCCCCAGCCTTCAACTCCTCCCTAGGGCTTGGGAGTACCAGTAGTTACAAAAGGGTGCTGGGGGAGGGTTGGGAAGTGAAGGTGTGCATGGGCGCTACCTGCAGGCAAGCTGAGGCCTTGAAGGTTAGAGAGACAGGTCAT